AATCGACAAATAAACATGGGTATCAATCGCTTTACCAACTTCTTCAGCCGTTGGCTTTAAAGCCAAACGTCGGATGAAACGGTAACTATTGTCACTGTTTCATCCGACGTTTCGCTTCCTTCTTCTTCTTGCATTTGTTCTTTAACTACCTCTATGATATCTTGAACAATATCTTCATCTGTCATCACTCCTCCCATAACCGAAACGTCATCATCAATTGGTAACATATTTTCGTAAGTAAAATCTTCCGGAACAAGATCCTCATCACGTTGACGTAACTGATCGATTGAATTTTTTAATGCAGGAACCCTCTTCAAAGATAAGTTATAGCTTGGTCAATAGAATTTCCTAATGTCCTAGTTAATAAAAGGTCATATTTAAATCTGAATTATATAAAGTAAAGAATATTATGTAAACTCTCTGGATCATTGCTAAATAATTCAGTAAACAACTTTACTCTTTGCGTATTATAAAAAATAATAATAACAATAAAAAAAATTGATATAAAAACAAAAATAAATTTTTTAGCGGACTTGAAAAAAACTATAGCAGCAAAAAAATTTCCGGAGGACTTAGTTTAGCTTTAATTTTCAGACCTCTAAAAATTTTTTATTGTAAAATCTTTTGAAAAACTATTTTTAAGTGAGGACTTAGCTCGATGAAAAGATATTTAGAGAATAGAATATTCCTCAAGGAAATAGAAGAAAAAGAGCTATTACTACCAATATTTAATTTTTCTGTTTACTTTTACTTATTAAGTGGAGAACATTAAAACTTTGAGTGAAAAAAACATGTCTTTTAGGAAATTTACGGGTTTAAACACTTTGTAAAAGTTTAAGAAACATTTTTAAAAGTTTAGGAGAAATTTTTACGAAACACAAGAAGCAATTGTATTAAATAAATCTTTATTTATTTTAATTAAAACCCAATTTATAGATTGTCAAAGATGAAATCTTTATAAAAAAATTTTGATCTGAGTTTTATTATTTCGCCGTAACTACTCTGAGTAACTGATAACAAAGTCGATTAAAAAATAAGTTGTTTTTAATAAAAGAGTATTGTTTTTAATAAGGATGCTAAGAACAATATTAGTAACTTATGTAAGCTGATTTTACTAATGCACAAAACATCTTGAGAAGTTAATCACTTTTCCGTATATGTAATGATTAAATTTTCTCGTTTAGGCCAGTCAAATTAGGTTTTGACCCGGAAAAAGTTAGCAGCAAACTGAAAATTTCTCTGAATGTTCTGTATGCACTACTGATTCATATTAAAAAAACTGGCCGAAATCGTAATTTAAAATCCATGATGGCGTCCAAGATGGCATCCAAATTACAGTTTGTAATAGCTGAGCTTGTAGATCACTTAGAAACATGATTTTTGTGTCTACTGTTTTGTTTATGAGGTCGAGAAAATAATTTCTGATCTTTTTAGCTTTATGAAAAAACAAAATGGTTGTCAAAATCCGAGATGGCGGCCAAAATTTAAATATCTTAGCTTGTTGATCAAATTAAAGTACAGTTTTTGCGTCAAGTGTTATGTTTTTCATGTTAAGCAATTTATTTTTCACAATTCTATTTTAGTGAAAAAAAAAAATTATTGTTATTATTGAAGATGGCTGCCCAAACAGCAATCAAACTAAAATATGAAAGTTTGTATATCACTTTTAAAAACAATTTTTGTATCTTGTAATTTGTCATAATCTTTATCTTTATCAGATGTGTCAGCATCATTAAGATTTGCAAGATTTAAGCAATCCACTCCGTTGAATGGCCCAAGCATTGATGGGCAATTCAAACCACCTAAATAAAATAAAATAATTATTAAAGTTTTCAATTATTGCAAATCAACTACTACAGGAACGCATTATTTTGGTAAAAATTTTTGGGTTATTTTAATCGCTTTTACCATTATATTTATTATTCATAAGACTACATTTAGCTTTTTTACATTCGCAATTCTAAATATGTAAACATCTAGTTTACAAGTTTTTTTAAAAACTGCATACAGCTCACAAGAAATAATTGGAGCTGGCAGTTAAAGATTTGATTTTGATAAGAGATTTGATGCTATTATTTTCCAACCCATTCCAGTAGATCCAAGTTATGACTAACCCATTGCTGTACTTGATGGTTGACACAGTTTGAACGTTGCTTTGCTCCGGAAATTGTTGGAGATAGTACAGCTAAATTGAATGTTTTTTTAACTAGGTTTGATTCTATCCTGCAAAGATACTAATATTTATGATGCTTATCAAGTGATATTAACTTGGTTTTCGATCCATATAGTGCTAGGTAAAATTGTTCTCCGGAATGAGCAATTTTATCGTGTTTGGCTTCTGGCGCGTTAAATAAATCAACAACTTTGCATATACCCATATGCAACAATTTGAAGGCTTTTTCCTTTGTCTTGACTGTACGGAAATGATGTTAAATCGCATCCAGACATTGCATGTAAAAATAAAATTATCTTGTTCGCACTGTAAAATTTGTCTTGCTTAATATCTTTGCCAGGCTTCATCATGAAAATATTAGTAGTTAAATCTGTTAGAGCCTCATGTAATCTGTGTCTTTTCCTATAATTACAACAGGTTTGTTGAAACCATATCTTGACAAATTAATTGCTGTATTGATAATAAGAGTATTCGCATCTCCTGGTGTCTATCTAACATGAATTCCAGAATCTTTAAGGCGCACAGATAAGGCTTCTATAAATCTAGTTTTGTTGCAAGGATTCGAAATAAAATTTGCCTAGGTTGAACTAACTGTCATTGATTCGTCAAAAATAACATCTGCTGAAACTACTTTGGAATTGCGTTGTTTGTGTTCCTTTGATTTGGTATTAGGTAGACTATCAGAATAGCCATCAAAAACAACCCAATAATTTTTCCTATATTGATGTAGCACATATGATACATAACATTTATATATATTTTTATATGTTGCTGGTCTCATCCATACAATGTGGTGAAGTAGATACCCTCCATTGATGAAAATTTTTGAGAAAAGCGTTGTTTCGTCACATGGAATAATTGATTCTATTGTATCACATAGAACTACTTTTAAACGTTTCTACATTAAAAGCGACTTATCAAAATGTGCTGGAGGCGTCGGTGCCAACTCGTACTTAAAACATGCTGCAGGTTCTTTATCCGTCTGTTTTAAATAGATATTGGCAAAATTCATTTAAACTATTATGTTCATAGTTTTTATGTCAGTTTCAACTGCTCTATCACAGTAAATTTTATTATTTCCCACTTTACCTTTGGAATGTGAGATCACTTCAATTCGGGTGCACAAAAAGGTTCATTGGTTTTTATCCATTGATTCACACAATTCAGCGTGTAGCTCTGACAATTTAAAAGTGATACCGCAAAAATCTTCAATACCTGTTGCAACAGCTGAACATGCGGGGATACCGAGAATCCAACGAGAAAGTACACTGTCTGTTAAACCTCTTCCACGTGTAAGCCCACCTTATATCATCATTGATCTCAGAAGTACCTGCTCTACGGTCATATCAGTACAAATGCTGGCCCAAAATTTATGTGTTCGGCGAATGGTGAAATACCCGTCATTTGTAAATTTTGAGTATTCTTCTGGAGACATTCTGTACTTAAGCGACAACATCTGTTGTAAATGTAAATAAGTTTTTAGCGGTATATATTAACAATGATTTTTTATACGTGCGTTTGAAGCCTCAAAGAAATAATTACTGTTGAGAAATAATAACTTATTAGCGTGCTATAAACCACGCGTTCTAACCTGCATCGGAATTGACGTTATAATATAGTTTACGTTGTAATTAGTTTTTTAGATTCAAAGTCAGTTGGTGAGAAATATAATGTCGAATGAGAAGTAGTTTCTTTAGTGTCACTGGGAAACAAAATAAAATTCTTCACAATTGTAATTAGTATGATTATTTATAAATTAACTTAATTTAGATTTCAGTTTAGAAACGTAGAGGTCATCAGAGAACAAACCTCACTCATTAAACAGATTAATTTTGATATATAAAAAATGTAACAAAATAGTATAAAAAATAATTTCTAATTTCAGATGAATATGAGTTGATACTCACAACATTGTAAGTGAGTTGATACTCACAACATTGAGTTAATACTCACAACAAATGAGTTGATACAACAACAATGAGTTGATACAAAAACAAATGAGTTGATACTCACAACATTGCAATTAAGAAGCTTATGCGCAAAGTGTATTAATTTTAGAATTTTTTTTGGCCGCCATGCTTTAGCTGTTTAGCTCAAAAATAAAAAATGTCGAAAAATGAATTTCTTGACCTCAAAAACATAATACTAGATGCAAGAATCATATTTCTTAATCATCTACAGGCTAAGATATTACAAAAATAATTTTGGACGCCATCTTGGATTTCAGACAAAGCTTCAGTCTGAATTCGGCCGATTTTGTCCAAAGAGTGCATGCTGAACTTTTCCAGTAATTTTTAACTTGCTCCTAATTTTTTCTAGGTAACACGACTTTTTTTGCTAATTTTACTGAGCTAATTGTTAAACTATCTTGTTTCATAAACGATATACCTAAAAACGAACGCTTCTTAGCTAACGCAGTTGTTTTTTAGCATCTTAAAGACAGTTCTATTTTTTTTTTCTTACAAAGTTTTGTTTTTTATTCACTTCACAGCATTACTATAAATTTATTTTTCTTGAAATTTCTGTTTTGACTAAAAAAGTTTTTTTTGTTGTTGTTGAAAACGCAGATACTATTTTAATATTTTTATTTTAAAATTACAGGTATTATTCTGATATTTTTATTTTAATAAGTTTAAAAATATTTGTAAAGGTACTTTTTTCTTATAAATATTTAGCTCTCCAACGTACGCTTGTCAAATTAACTTCTCACGCAAAAAAATACGAAATCTTTCATGAACATATTTCTTATAAAAATCTTTTCAAAAATAAAATTTTTCTCTTAAAAATAAATCATTTTAATTTTGTCTTAAAAATAAATTATTTCAACTAAAAATAATTATATGTATTAATTTACTAATTTTAATGAAACTGATTATGGATACCAAAATAAAACCTAATTACAATTCGTATATTTTCGTTTTGCAATTCCTGCGTTTTTTTAACTCTTCTTCTGTTAAATTTACTTTTCTGCGTGTTCTTTGGTGAGCAAATGCTGATTGAAGTTTGTTGCGAAACTCAGGAAGCTTCTTGAGCGAATTCTTAAATTCCAAAATATGAGCAGGATTGTCATTTTTTTGCGACTTAGACTTGAATTCATCTGGACTTTCGCGTAATGATATATCTCGAACTTTAGGAGCAACATTAACGAGGGCAGACTTGGTTTTTCGAAGAAAAGCATCAACGCGGGAAGATGTAAAAGTTTTAGCAATTTGAGTAGCTAACTCTCCTTCGCTGTGGGATTTGACTATAGTGATTTCTGAAGAAAGATTTTTCTTTGACTCTTCTAAAGTCGGAGTAGTGTCAAGTAAGTTTTTTTTTATGTCAGGTTTCGAATCATTTTCGATTTGTATAAGAGGATTGTTTAAATGATTTTCGCATAAGCCATCAAGCTTTAAGTCTTCGTGAGTCTTTAAACGACTAGAATAGCTTAAAGTACGTTTAGAAGACAAAGGTTGAATATTTAAATGGCTCTTTGAACGTTTTTTATCGAATTTTACTTCGTTTATTTTAATGGCAAGTCCTTCATAATGTGCAACAGAAAGAAACATGTCTGCTATTGATAACAAAATACCTAACAGAAATAAAACTTATATGAAATATATGAAATATATTTTTTTTTGTGATTTGCACTGAATGCATTGTTTAAAACTTTCCGCAACTCACAAATAATTTTGAGATAATGTTGACTATTACAAACTACTAAAATTATGACAACAAAGTAGTGTTAGTGGTGTTAAATTATGACAACAAAATGGTGTTACATCAATATTAAATTATATTTTCAACATTTTCTAAAATTTGACACTAGTACCATAAAATAAAATTTCAAAATGAAAAAAAAATATTTATTTGGTAACTTCCATATACATTAATATATTAAATCAATAACTTTAATAATTAAGTATTCTATATTTCTAATATTACATTATTTTGAAGCTGATGTGAGTTAAAGTTTGAAAAAAGATAAAAGTAAAAAATATTTCTCAGAACATTTGGCAGAAGTCGTTTAATAATTTAGAGAAAGATATGCATTGCATTGTCTCAATTAGTTAAGACAATCAACGAGAGAGTACTACGAGAAACATTAGATTGTCTCATATAATTCAGATGAATAAATTAGAGAGTAATGGTATTAAGATAAGGATATGCTTAACATAGTTTGAATATATGATTTATACTTGGTAACGCTTTGAAAAACATTGTTTTTTGGAAAAAATGAGAGGCATTAGAAAAAATGTGAGACTGATTGTATGTGGATATTGAGCATGTAGGTGTAGCCACAGATGGTTTTGAAAGACTTAATAGCGGAAAGGTGTTTAATGTAAGAAATATTGAAGAAAAATTGTTAGAATTATATATATATTTTTTGTTATTTAGTTGCTCCCAGAAGTCCTTACGGTCTTATCAGGGAGCACCACGGAAGAGCATTTAACTAGAGGTTTATGCCTCCTTCCTTACCAATGTCGCTTATTGGGCTGGAGCCGGCGTCGAACTCCGGACCTCTGGGTTCTGAGCCAGAACTCTAACCACTGCGCCACGGCTGCTCAATTAAGTGTTACAGTGTAACTATATTGACAAATAACAACATATTGAAGTCTGTTATACATGATTTAAAAAAAAAGTTTAATAAAAAGTATTTAATAAGTTTTTTTTTTTTTTTTTTTTGAAAAAATTATTTGATCGATAATTGACCTAAAAATTATTTAACCAGATCAAATTATTACTTTAATTTTTCTAATACTAGAAAAATTAAGTAAATTTTTATATATCTTATTTTTATATATCTGATTTTACTTGGATTGTGTGCAAGAATGCTTAAAAGAGACATTCAATAAACTTTTTAAAAGAGACATTCAGCCATTTTTATAAATGAGACATCCAGCCGACTTTATAAAAGAGACATCCAGTCAACTTTATAAAAACAGAGTATCAATAAGTTTATCAATAAAGTTAATTTGTAAAGAAAAAAATTAAAATTGCAAGATAAAAATTTATATTACATAGCGTATGAAGGAGAGAAAGAAAGAGGAAGAAAGGGGGTTCTATTATAATTAAACACCCATAAAAGCATTAAGATAATATTACAAAAAGGCACAAAAATTTGAGCTAATTACCAAATTTAATTGACTTTTAATAACCTGTTACCTTTTGATTCCTCTGCAGATCTCTTTTGAACAGCTCTAACAGTATGAAAAAACCCACTAGTATTGTTATACTTGTAATGAAGTCGCATGAAAACAAACTGATTTTTATAATAGAAACTTTCAGTGC